TACTATAAGGCAACATGCTCTGAAACACTTCATCAACCTTTGGCATGTGTTCAGAGGTCTTGCGCTCACTAGAGACAGACCGCCAGCTTTCCTTTCTACTTAGCCCTCCTTGGTCAGGGTCACTATCAACATGAACAACAATTTGATTGACTGAGAGCTTTAGAAAGTAATTTTGTAAATACAACACAGAGTGAGTTATATGGTGAAAACTGGACTTGTATTTTTTGTAGTTGGACCCCCAATGAGACACAATCAACTTAAAGGGGCAGTTCATCAAACATTGAATATTCTGAACAAACAAAACAGAACATACTATGAAAAACACTTTAATATGGTGTATGGTAATACTGTCCCTTTTAAATGATTTCAGTTAGCCCCTAAACTGAATATTTGTGTTTAATTTAAGCTTAGTTTTAGCCTCTTTTTTAGATAAAAATGTGGCATACTACAATATATTTAGTCAGTGGCCACCCTATCCGCCTAATAACATGAAAATACCCACAAATCCACAAAAGGCATTTCGTTCACAGAAAGGAACCTTATTACATTGACGTATCTCCATGTCCATCACTATGAGAACATACATTTAACCATCATGTACGGCCATTGTTCCAACTGTGCATATACACACGCTGGGTGGCCAGACTGGCCACTGCAAACATTAGAGTGATTGAGGAAGATAAACCGCAAAGCACGGGATGCATAATCTCTGTTAATATTTCTTCACCAAGAGAAGCCATTTTAATCATCTGCTGCACAAACCCCCTCCCTTCACTCTGCCACATGTTGACTTCAACATCATTAAAGCAGTTTTTATAGTGACTGGATGACATAGTAATCTAAATAGCTTGAAAATTAAATATAAACCACGGGTAGACTTTCTTTCGTTTATTTCATTGCAAGTCCATGTGGAGCAACAAGAAACATCAAAGTGCTACAGTGCCATCTTTTGGTTCAACCCTTTCACCTTGCATGTTCAAAAAGACACTGAACTGATTCAAATGAATGCCATGTAATATGACAACATTTTCTAATACTTTAAAAAGTACTAAAAAAAGTACCCTTTTCCCTAAGTACTAAACTTTGGCACATACTGTAGCTTGTCCTGCCCTACTTGTGCTAAGGACATCAACAATACTTTATTTGAGAGAGGCATGTGACAATCTTAGTTGTCAAAAAAATCGTATACACTTGCCCTTAAAGAAGAGAGGGACCAGAATATCAGAGTCTCAATAACCTAGTAACCACACGTTCAAAACAATCAGAACACCTAAGCTTTTTCTTGAAACTTTTCTTGAATACATTTTTGAATGGACAAGAGCAACTCACATTTACTTGTAAATGTAAATATAAATATACAAATTTGGTCACACTTTAGTTTAGGGTCTAATACTCACTATTAACTATGACTTTTCCCTCAATAAACTCCTAATTACTGCTTATTATAAAACGGTTAGTTCCAATCCTTGATTCTGATTGGCCAATAGCTGTGCTTTATTCATGATAAAACACGGCTATGACCGCTTCACCCAACGGTTCTATTTATCACTGCGCAACACTGCAGTTCCTATGTTGTTTTTGAGCTTTCACGCATATTACGCATTGGAACGTTGTTGCTGTTCACGGTCAGGGACTATTTTTTTTCTAGCGGAAGGAAGGCTTTTAGTGATTTTACTTCATGAAAGTTGCACTAATACATATTTTTTTTTACTTTAATATTTTTATTGTGTGGTAACCGTTTTATAAAAGCAATAAGGTACTTGAGGCAAGTGCTGTATCGTGAATAAGTCACAGCTGAAGGGCGCGTCGTGCCTAACAATGCGTCGTGCCTAACAACGCCCTTCAGCCGTTACTTATTCACGATACAGCACAGCCTCTCGTACCTTTGAATTTTAATGTAGAATGCGGCCTGTTAATTCTTGATAACAGACCGCTGCTAAGTATAACACACCGTTGCCATGAAAAACAGAGCGTTGCCATGGACACAGTTCTGTTCACTATGGAGGATAAACTCCTCTAAAGCAATAAACTCCTTTTTAAATCAATATTTTGTGTCAAATTATTGATTTATTTGGTAGGTAGCCATGTGATAAGCGAGATAATAGCTTCACGTCGGGGGCCTGATCAGCCTGTCGGGGTTGTATTCGCTATAACAACCGCCTCACTCTACATTATCCCTTACTTAATAGTTAGTAAGGTAGTTGTTGAGTTTAGGTCTATGGTTTAGGTATTGGGTAGGATTAAGGGATGTAGAATATGGTCATGCAGAATAAGGCATTAATATGTGCTTTATAAATAACAATAAACACCCAATATCCCAGTAATATGCATGCTAATAAGCAACTTGTTAATAGTGGAATTGGAACCTAAAGTGTTATCAAAAATTCTATTTGAATCTTAATTGATCTTGATACTTTAATATTATGTATTGTTGATTTACTTGTGTTTTATTGTCTGCCACTAATATAATACGACATTCACACAAGACAACAGATGCTTAATATGCAATCGCTTGCCATTGCCAGGAAAAAATAACAGCCATAAAAACAGCCATCATCTGCCTTTTGGGAATCGCAAAACCGCGTTGCATTGTTAAATCTTCTGTTTCTCAGTCAACCCCAGAGGCGGACCAAAATAAAAATGAGCTTTGAGACTTGTGCCTTTGTTCTTCTCTTTGTGGGCTGTCTCTTTCTCACTACAACACTTTCCCATCAAAAAAGATGCCAAAGCACTTGAAAAAGGTGGCGATGAATAAGCAGTTGAGAGGCAAAGACGCTCATTATGGTGGGGTTTTAAGGAAACAGCCCTGGCGAAGTGCTATTTGAAGTAATTATCTGCAATTAAATTCAGCTGATGCATCAACGGCTCATCCCCATGCTGTTAGGTGGCTTGGCGAGGACAGAGCAGAAATGTACAGAAGCTGACGACAAATTGGTCCCTGGATATTTCCTCAACTTTCTGTCACCCCCAACACGTGCACACTGAATTCGATTGGATAAAAGCAGGATGGTCAAAGAGGCAGTTGGGCATGCTGGCATGGCAGGAAGTGAGTAATAGCTAAATAGAGGTCTGGGCTATTTGGCCCTTTGTGGCTCATGTCTTTCTGCCTGGACTGGAGCAGATGAGCAGCTAAAAGCTCAGAGAGTATGCGTGACCATCTGCCATCTCTGTTTTGCTCTCCGCTTCATAGATCTGGGTGTGTATGTGAGTAAATGAGACGGGGAGGGAGGTGATGTGACGAAAAAAAACTAAAAAAATAAGAGAAAAAGCGAAAGCATATCTCGCCTCCTTCATCACGGACTATTTCCCCATTTCCTTATCCGCTTTCACATACATTTACGTGCAGGAGCAAGACAGAGGTAATAGTCTCTCATACCAATGAGCTTATGCTGTGGCATTCTGACAGTTCCAGCTTGTGGCCTGAAATTGACCCCAGACTCCAGCTACAGTCTGAAAACCTCCATTTACAACACCACAGGCTGCTACGCAGAGCACCATCAAACACAACCGGCCAAAGGCAAAAACGTTGCAAAACCACTGCGCTTCTCAAGCGCAACACTGCCACCTGTCGGAGGGAAATCTATCAGCTGCTGTTAAGCGTGTTATTTTTTAGAAGAATCAAACTGTTTATTTCCACACAACCAGGGCCAGTTGCGTTTCCACAACTTTTGACATATACAGCGCCATGAATCTATTACAAGACAATCCCACTGGAGCAACCTGGGGTTAAGTGCTTTGTTCAAGGGCAAGGTGGTAAAACCTTCCCAAACCACAATATCACATCATCATCAAAAGACTATTTTACAAGAGGAAAAAAACAGATCAGTGGCACATGATTTGTTTAGGTGTACAAAGGTGAAAAGGTTTAATTACTGCTTATGGTAATATTATATTAATGCATGCTAAAGGAGAATCTAATTTTCCAGCCCGCACTGTGAATGATTACTCAGTTTATTAAATAAAAGTATAAAAAGTTTTGAGTGTCATTAGTTTAGTCAGATTATGTTTAGCTATAAATGTGAGCTGAATAAAGATCATATCAGATTGTATGGAGGAATCAATGCAGAAATCGAAATATTTTGAAAGGGTTCACAAACTAATTCTTTCCACTGTATATACAGTATATATAAAGGCATTTTTGATATATAAGACTATGGTCCTAAATCATGGTAAACTCCATAGTTCAAGGTGAAGCTGATCGACATCAATGTATACGACTGCACAATACAACACATTAAATAGGCTAAACTTCTATATTGCCCTTCACATCATATTAAATAGTGCATCTAGCCTGACTGAGTTCTAAGAACTAGAGATGACATTTTCCTGACTGAAAGCCTACAACCCTGTAGGAGCACTACCTCTCTTAAATGTGCTACAAGCTCAAACCAGCAGCAGAATATTTAAATGTCAAGGAATTACAGACTATTTGACCCATATTCGCTGCACAGTTGAAAAGACAAAGGTATAAGTGGTATAAATCTATGTGTGTGGCAGAGTAGGAGGTTATTTAGGTGACTAACCAGCCATGTCTTCCTCTCTATTTAGCAGCACATGGAGCTAGAGTGACGCACAGAGCTAAAGTGATATTGTTTTACCTCCTCACAAGCAGACTACTTCACTGACTGCCACAATTTACACAGAAGGGTGCAGAGAAGAGCAGACTGGATTCACTGCAATCTTTCTCAGATCACTGTGAATGAACAAATTAGATATAGACGTAGAATTGATGCTGTGCTCTTGCAACTACAGGAGATTCTGAGTAAGAAGCAAACAAGCTGTGAGAGCTGAGTAACATCAAATTATAACACCTGTTCGACTGTAGGTATATATTTGACATTTTTATGGTGTATATGCACATTTAAAAAAAAGGCCGCATAAAGCAAGGTGAATAAATAATGAAATTTTTAAATAAAAATAATTAGAATAATAAATAACTTGGGTGAACAATCCTGATAACCCAGACACTCACTGGGATATGACAATTAATTTCACCACCATTTCCTGAAATTCATGTTTGAAAGGAAAATGTAAAGGTGTGTTAAGTCATAACAAGTGTATGCAGGTTACCAACCCTAAGAATATTATGGATTTCTTTCCAACGACTAGCCCACTGTTTTGTCAGCTCCTGAACCTGAGAAAGAAAAGAGAGATACTTTGGATTATTTCTATAAGAGAAAATACAGATACAGAAAAAAATAAAATGCTTCTACTGGACTGTGAATGTAAAGCTGCCACATTCTTTCATCACAATAAATGGGACAGAAAACAGCATTCTGAGTGTTGGGATAAATACAGCACTCTAAAATCCCAGTTGCAAGTCATGCATATTTACATCCAAACCTAAGAGGAAGACTAAAGTGCAGCATAACATAAAATAAAGATAAAAACAACAATGCTGCTGCTGACCTCCTCTAGCACAAAGGCTTTAATTATCTCCCTAAATCAGCATGCATCACACTTAAACAGCCATGAGCAGTGGGGAAATCAAGGATTGGTTGGCTGCTATGCTCGGTTTTACCCAACATTTAATCACTAGAAGATCTGTAAAGTAGTCTGAGGATGTGCAGTGAAATTGAGACACTTACTCTGGCTTCATCCTGATGAAGCCTCTCCTCCACACTCGACCCTAAATGCTGCTCAAATGACACCATCTGTAAGGATTTAAGTCATGTGACCACTGAGAAACAAAACAAAGGCTGTACAAAAGTAGGTACTTCTGTGTATATGCCAGTATTACGTTTTAATACGGCATAAAACGTCTGTAGAACTTTTCATACCATAAAAGGCTGTGGGCAATAGTATCCCAAAAAGCATGCAGACTTTGTAACAGTATGTAGTCCGGGCCATTTTGACATTATAATTTCAGTGATATGATTTGGGAGGCACTAAAGAGGAAAAAGTTATGGCTTAAAGGTATGGCTTTCATAGCTCAGGAGAATTGGTTGTGTGTTAATTAGGTAAAACTGATCTCTTAAAATGACTTAGGATAAAGAAAAATACACACAAAAACAATTGCTCATTGATAAATTCAAAAGGCTCATACTGAAATCTCAAACTTTTGTCAAAATCTGAGTAAAGTTTGAGCCATCATTCAAAAACTCAAGAAGAGACTAAGACCCTACTCTGTCTTATTATGAGAGATATGAGAAGCTGGAGATTTGCGATTTTTCATTTCTTTAAACTAATCTTGGCATACCATTTAAAACTGATAATATATAAATTGAAATTCAGCCTGTGATGTCTGAGGAGGATGAAGTCGAACTTAAATCACCTGATTTCCTGCAGACAGCAGCGCTTTCAGGCGGGCAATCTCAGCTCGCAGCTCTCTGATAATCTTTACATTGCTGTCCTCATTCACAGTGGGCTTGTTTAAAATGTTCTTGGCACGGCTGGCATAACGAAGAGTGTTCAGAGTTTCGCTGTAGTTCACGTCAGCAGGTGAGATGGCTAGAGTGAAAAAAAAGATAAAAGGAAATTAATCCTTAATACATAATCAAGGCGAGATTAGCTCAAATCTCCTTGCAATGCAATGTTAATTTCAATCTGCCACTTTTTCGTGGCTTTTTAGAGTTGTTGTATGGAAAAGAGCAGCATGAACGTTTCGCAAAATAAAGTGCGTAACAAAATCTTGCATGTTAGGAGAAGCTTGAGGGTGCGTGGAACTATGACCACAGTGATACGTGTGACCTCTGACATACTGGCTATCATGATGGTTTTGGAGTTCCCACCAAGACTGTCCTTTAGGAGCCAGGTAAGCGCAGAGTCTCGATATGGAACAAAGTTTTGTTTCCTTTTTATTCCACCACCAATGGACAAATCAGCTGTGACAACAGATATAACAAAGAATATCCACTGAACAACCTCATAACCATGTCAGTCAAAGTGCTTGAAACCTTAAGCTGATACGTATTCTTTGATTGTTGGTTTACCTAAAGTGGAAATGACGATGCCCAGAGTAACCAGAGATCTATTGATGTTGGCACCTTCCTTCAACCTAATGCCAGTAGCCTGTGTGGCATCAGCTCTTTCACTTCCTGCTAGGTCAACCAGGTGTACCTTACTCACCGTCTCACTCGGTAACTCTGCATCAAACATGGCCTATAAGGACATATTATGGTAGACGATACAGTCAGATATTTCTCAATCCGAAATTCATAATGTAGAACCATAATGCGACAGGGAAAAGAAACAAGCTAAAATACTTGATTGAAACACAGGAAAGTAAGATTGGAAATGCTTAATGCTGCATGACATCCTATCCCCTGAAGTTTCTGAAATTATTATGAATTTATTAAAATAACTGGATTATAACCAACAGAGCCAACTTATAACCAAGAGAACCCTGTTGAGTTTTAAATATTAGTCTCATAACATGGAAAAACTAAGAAGAGACACAGAATATTGACAAAATATAGAGAAAAAAACTGAAGAAAAAAGGCAATGTTTGGAGCAGCATACTATCATACTACTCTATATCCAGAGAGAGAGATAAACTAGAAGGAATATCAATCTGTTTAAATAAAAACAGAATAAAAAATAAAAATATATATTTTCAAATCCCTTGGAAGCCACTCAAAACATCAAATACATTTCTTGTGGAATGATGCCTCCCGATTCACTTTTTCCTGATTATAAATAACCATCTATTTTTTAATATATGAAATGCTGTCCAAAAGGCAGTAATCTAGTATTCCAAAACATAGCCATTGACACATTAACATCTGTGTATCATTAATACCCAGACATCCCCAACATCCACAGAAAATGGAGAAAGCTCAGTGGATAATACAAACAGGGAGATGATAACTTCAAGCTGCGAAGGCTATCTGCACAAATGTACAAATAAAGAGGCAGATGGCATTCAGCAGAGGGTAAATGGACTTGTGACCTTGATGAAGCGAATAGTGAAGATAGCGTGGGATCGGCTGCTGACATGGTTCATGCCTGTGCTGGCAGTGGCACGCCTCCTGTTGCCCTCGTGCATTAGCTGGCCAACCTCAGTATAGCTCTGCACATGGTGTCTGGAGAGGGCTGGACATAAGAGAAACATAAACAACTGTTTTTACTGGATTTCTGATAACGTTGTTTGAGCAATCAGTAAAGTAACATTAAAAAGTGAGCAAGTTTTCAATCATCATGATGTGAGGTGTTGTTTCTGTAGTAGTCATTTTACCCTCCACATATGCTCCATCTTTAGGATGTTCTCTTACTCTCAGCTCACAGCCTTGTGTCTCTGTGCTGGGAAGAAGGTCTCGAACTCGCTCATTGTAGATTTCAAAGTAGCTGGAAGCACAAAGCATCAAAGACAAGAACAAAGCAGTGATAGTTTGCTCTTGAAACGTTAGCTCCTATTTTAGAATATAATGGGATGAAATTGTGCTGCCACAAAAACTTCAACAGTGACTCAGTCTAGATTAGTCTGGTTTTAAATGAGCCACATTCCAGCAGTTTTGCTAAATACCACTGATTTAGTTTATATTTTGGTTTAATAGCTCATTTGCTAGCTTATTAAATTGCCTTTGTTTTGCTCGTGAAGCAATTGCCTGGAAAACTCAAATCAATTACCTGCCGCTGTTTGAATCTCATTGTACATGAATAAAATTAGCGAAAATGCTGGCTTGATGGAACACAACGACTTGACAAGGAATTAGAGGCTACACATTTTCCCTAAATCTGAATAAGCTCTGTTGTTATATACTGCTGCATATTACAGCAATCGTGTGGGTGAGGGGGAGAAAGTCTCGCCAGTCAGAAAAGAAATAAAATCCCACAAGACGATAAACCTATTTCGAGCTGTCTGAGAAATGTGAATGTTTAAACAGGCTCCTGAAATGAAAGACAGATTGGTCCCTCTTCATCTCCTAATGAAGCTGGAGGGAGAGAGAGAGCGAGACAGTATCAGTTTGAGCTCAGTACAAACCAACAGTGAACTAATTAAAATGTGACAGTCAGACATTTTGAATGCCTCTACTGCTAGAACTGTCCCCTGTGAATGAGCACTGTTTAAAGGAGGGAATCCAGGTAGTTAAACTACAAAAACTCTTGCAGGCATTTAGACACTAATCACATGCAAGAGAAGCCAAGGGTAAAGTATCAACCAGGTTTTTTTTTCAATTGATAAAGACAGGTCTCACTCAGGGGTGTGACTGGGCTATTGGGTTTCAGTCACTGATATGTTTTTCTTTGTTTTTTTCTACTGCAGCAATCCAAACTGCAATGGCAATCGATATAATACACAATAACAGTAATTTAAGACCTCATTTACACCACAAGCAAAAGACATGACTCAGTAGCTTCCTTTATTACACGTCCAAATGTACTGTAGATGCAAACAGTCAATATTTTGCAACATGCAACAGAAAATATATTTTACAGTTAATTATATTTTTTGAACAATATTGTTTCTTGTCAATATTGTTGTTAATCAAGGCCTCTGGGATACTACATAGCTGAATACATTTCATTGTGGACTTTATTAGCTCTTTTGTCAAACATACTAACCTACAGCCAATTTAACAGACATGCACTGCTGTTTAATAGTTTGGGGTCTGAACATTTTGTCTTTTTTAAAATAAATTAACACTTTTATCAATCAAAGAAATTTCTTTTTCAAATAAATGCTGTCCCTTTTGAACTTCTTATTCACCAAAAAATCCTGAAAAGAAGTATCACGTTTTCATCAAAAATATCAAGTAATCAACATTGATAATAATAAGAAATGTTCCTCGAGCACCAAATCAGCATTTCAGAATCATTACTGATGGATCATGTGACACTGAAGACTGGAGTAATGGCTGCTGAAAATTCCATTTTAAAATCGAATTAAAATAGAAAAGTGGTTTTAATAAAAAAAATATTGTGGTCAAATTTTAGATTAAGGTCCAATTCTCACTATTAACTAACTATTAACTACAACTTTGCCTCGATAAACGTCTAATTACTGCTTATTAATAGTTAGTGAGGTAGCCTAGTTGTTAAGTTTAGGTATTGGGTAGGATTAAGGGATGTAGAATATCGTCATGCAGAATAAGGCATTAATATGTGCTTTATAAGTTTTAATAAACAGCCAATATTCTAGTAATATGCATACTAATAAGCAACTAGTTAATAGTGAGAATTGGACCCTAAACTAATGTGTTACCAACATTGTAATATAATATTTCACAATATTACTGTTTTTACTGTACTTATTTACTACTTGTACATTTAAATTAACCTTACCAACCCCAAATTTTTTAACAGTAGTGAATAAACATGTTCAGTGTGTAATTGAACTGAGATAGCCGGTATATCTATGCCGTTTAAAATAACATGTAATGGGTCTAGTGACTTTGAGGAAATTTTCCCACCGGTTAATCGACGTGTGACAACAAGGTGATGCAACACCGGTTACATCACTTGCCCACAGCAAACCTAGTCTAGTCACACCCCTGGTCTCACTTTCTGTCTCTCTCATCTCTCTCATCTAATCTACCGCATGGGCTGTTATCAAGAAAAAACTATGATAACTGCTTGAGGCGGAAGCAGACGGAGGCTGAACACTGACCTTCCTGATCATCTGGTTGTAATTAGAGTCCTGCTATCTTACAATGCCCATAAGAAAGGACAAGCTGCCAGAATGGACACACTGTAATATGTCTGTCCTTCTCCCTGGGATTTTAATGGGTTCATTATCCTACAATAAACCACCATGGAGCAAATGATGGCCGTTGACAACTGTGGTCATGAATGTAGCTCTCTTGACACGTCGGAATTACTTATGTTACTCACTTCTATGGAACTTTTCCTGCAGCAATGGTTATGTCATTACCAAGAAATATTGCGCTCATACCTGACCTCCATGTGAAACGATGCCTTATCTCTTTGCAACACTCCACTGATGTGGTGGAACAGCCCCTCACAGATCCGTGGAATCAGTCCATAATCACCCTGAAAGAAGGAAATTAGAAAATTCAGCTCACTTAGCTGTTAAATGTAGTCAGGTGGTTGAGGAACTAGACTGAAAGATAGCAGGTTTGAACCCCATGAGGGATAACCCATGTTATGATCTTTGACAAAAATATTTTTAAGAATGTTTCAACAGCTTTTGTCCATTCAATGCATTTTGGACCCCATTGACTTTCATTGATAATTTCTAAATATCTTCTTTTGAGTTTCACAGAAGAAAGAAAGCCATAGAAGTCTAGAATGGCATATGGGTGAGTAAATGATGACAATTTACATGTCTTGGAAAACTATTTTATCAGGCAAGACACCGTCTTTGAAATAAATAAGTAAATGTGTGAGCTAAATGTGGTTAAGTTGTATATGTATTGAAAAAAATAATAATTCAAAACACAGCATGGAACATATTATACACTGGCCATTATAATGTCAATAAACCAAATAAGCTGCAAAGACAGCGCTAAGCTTGACCAAGGGCAGAAGTATTGCTAGAATGTACATTAGACATTTAGTACAATTTAAGAAGGACAAGCAATGACGTGACTGCAATAAAAACCTGGAGTAAAAAGAATCATGTGAAAGTGAAGCATGTGATTTATGTGGCATTAATGTAACTTATTGTCTACAGTTTTGTACATTAAGCTACAATAGGTGAAATAATTCCCACATCATCATCTTTAAAAGATAAAAAAAATCTAAAATTATAGCATAACACAAATTTTAAGACAAAGAATTGATGCTTTTGCCCTTCAGACGTCCACACACTTGAGACAGTTTGATTTCAGCTCTCTTTCTCTGCTATTTCTTCAATCTGCACTTTTCACCAGCACTCTTGAATAAATAAGAACTCCATAAAGTCTCCACACTATTTTCCCCTCTGATCTGCAAAGGCGGCTTTTAATTACTATCCACGACAAAGAGGGGATATCAGACAGAATAGAATAATTATCATCAGTACAAATCTGAATGAGTCTCTCGAACGACAGACCGATACCCGTTATAATTATGTGTTCTTCATATGCTGCCCTTTTCACATTTTCTGATTACTCATGAGAAGCATGCAGTGAAATAGAGGCTCTGCAGCCACTGGAGTAGTGTGTGCATCTGCCATCTTCTGAAGAGTGAGAGTGTGTTATTAGCTGTGATTTGTAGGTTTTGAAATTACACTTGAGAGGGAGACAGTGATGAGATGTGAAGCTTACAGAGTTGCCCATCATGGTGTAGGACTTTCCTGAGCCTGTCTGGCCGTAAGCAAAAACGCATGCATTGTAGCCCTCAAAAGCAGCTTGCAGGACATCGGTACCAAGATCTTTGAATATCTGAAATGACAAAAGAGATACAGAGTTACTATTTTTAGCACTTATTCTTGGAATCTCTATCTGCTGTAAAAAATATTATAATCATTTTAATAATTTTGGATTTTAATTCACTGACGAGATCTTACTGGTTTCAAAGCCTGTGGTTACAGCTCAGCTAGTACAATAGCAGATCAGATATTATAAAAACATTATCAAAGTTAGGCATTTATATTGTTCATGCTTCCACTTGAAATTAATGACACTGAAAAACAGTCCTTGACATCTACAGTAAACGACTCGTAAGAACAGCTAGTTCTATGGGCGCTGGAACACTTCTATCATTATTACTACTGGTCACATGACAATTGTAGTGGAGTTTGTACCTTTTCCTGGGTCACAAAGTTTGGACTTGTGCTGTTCATTGAATCATAAGAGAAATCATATGAGAAAGACTTTCCTCTCTCTCCAAACGGTTCTCCAGTCTCCTACAAAGCATAAAACACTTGCTGCAACTAGTGTCAATAAAAGGTGATATTTGGACATTACAATTCATTTGACCCTAATTAGGTTATTTCTAAGACATACATTGTGTTGTTCATTTATGCCAAATAGTTTAAATTAATAGTAATCACTACAATAGCTAAACCATAATTAAGGCCTAGAGTAGGAGATTTAAAAAAATATTATATTTTAAACAGGTATAAAAAGTCATGATTGATTTTTGACACTGGTTGATTTTTTAACCAATGCACATAAACAAACATGCATTAAATATCAACTGCATGAGATACCTTTGCGTTAAGGACAGAGGTTTTATGTCCATTCACATGTATAATGACTTTGGCTGAAAGGTCCTTCTCCCTGAGAGAGGAAGATAAACAGACAGATAGACAAATATGAAAATAGTATTTCCAAAACAGCAAACCATGATAAACTGCCACGGACTTGTATAATATCAAATAATAATAAAGTGAGACATGCTCTCTTATGGAAAACAGTTAGTGGGAGAGATTTATTAAATAGACACATGAATACTGCCATGTTGTGCCAAATTGCCAGTAAATCAAATCTGTACCAGGCCAGCCCAACGTTTATAATGTTATCTATTACAGTAACATTATGTGTAACTTACTAGCTTATGTTGATTTTGAGCATTCGGACAGGACTAACCTTTGGCTCAACGGACGGACCCGCACCGCCACACGCACAGACGCCATGGGTCATCGGTGAAAGGACACTTCACCTGCTTCACGAGTATTATATATCATAACTGTAATTGCGTGCGCTTCCATAGACACCATAACGTTACCTGTAACGCAGGCGAGAGTTCGACTGTACTCATTTCTCTCCACTTCAACAGGTAACGTTAACGTAGCCTAATATACCAGAGATAAGAAAATAAACTCTGAGCAAAATAGGTTTGTTGCTGGCAAACTAACAAGTTCAGTTGAGGGTTTATCTCATGAATATTAATATATTGACAAATATCAACATTGTTTGGTAACCAATGGCAAATACTTTCTTAATGAATATGAATTGTGTTATGGCGCTAAAGGTCCAACGATTGGCTGATCAATTCTGTCACGTACTTTGAAAACCTATCACTGAAGCAGGATTGGCTCATGAATATTAAGATACTTCAATCCCTATTTTACATCTGTGTTGGGCACAAAAAAGATAATCCCCCAAAAATGCCATAATGTATAATCATTGTAGAACCACTAAAATGTGAATTAATTCCTGTTTATCTGCTGTACCTGAGCCCTGGAGATAACAAGTGAATACAGCATTTCCGGGTACAATCTAGTAAGAAATTGGACTGTACCATTTTATTCAGAAAAAGGGCTCATCATTCACCTGGTCACTTCTGTACTCAGTGTATCAGTTTTGTTAGGGTTACAGTTGTATGTTAAGTTAGTGTTTGTTAGGGTAACAGTTGTATGTTAAGTTAATATTATTGTGAAGTTTGTTAGCTTTTATTATTGAACGATAGCCTACTTCGATATTATTACCTCTTTTGTTTCGGTGGTTTAAACAGGTGAAGTTCATGTCCTGTAGATGGCAGTCTTTCTCCAGTTATAAGGTTATAAGAGGAAGGCACATAGGCCTACTTGCACACACACCAGCGAAACCTGTGGTCTAATTATACTCTAGGTCATATTTTCTTTACTGTTTATTATATTCATTAATATATCTGCTACAGCACTGTAAAAACACTAATTGCTACATCTAAAAGAACTGGCCTATAGTTGAACTTACTTTCTATTAGGCTATACTTAGCTAAGGCGCACACACACACACACACACACACACACACGCGCGCGCGCGCGCACACACACACACACACACAAACAGGCGCACACATCTAGTGGGGACTCTCCATTGGCGTAATGGTTTTTATACTGTACAAACTGTATATTCTGTCCCCTTACACTGCCCCTACCCCTAAACCTACCCATCACACACAACTTTCTGCCTTTTTACATTTTCAAAAAACATTACTTAGTATGATTTATACGCTGTTTTCCTCATGGGGACCGCTGGCTGGTCCCCACAATGTAGGTGATTTCAGGTTTTACTATACTTGTGGGGACATTTGGTCCCCACAATGTAATATAAACATGAACACACACACACACACACAGTGTCACACACAAATCATAATAAAAGACAACATAGGCCTATGACAACTGCAATATCCTCTGTACCAACTACTTGGATGACATTGCATGAAACATGAGAGCTACAGCCCTATCTGTTTCACTGTCACACGCACACTGAGCCATTTCTCATTTCATAGATATTAATCTTAATTAATGTTTATTAAAGTTTATAAAAGATCACTCACTACCAAATTATATTTTTGATGGGCGAAGATTCAATCAAAATTTCTTTATAATTTTTTAATCTGTCAACAAGAGTGATGTTGAGGAGCTAGTCATATGGATGGTTTTGTAGTGATTTGGTAGTGTGTGAGTGTATATCAGAGATCAGTGTAGGTCCAATATCTATCCTATTTTGTATTCGCAACCCATGTCACATTGACACAGGCCTTCTGGTTTGTTTGAGAGACAAGGCCATGTTGGGGATGCTTTGTTTATCTTTAGATCTTTCTTTCGTTCTACTTTCTTCTCCAAGACTCCAATCATCACAGAAGAATAAAAGGGAAGGAAGTTGTCAGTCACTGATCACATGGTGCACAGACTCTCCTTCTGTCAGATGAAGCATTTCCTCTGCTTTTCCCACCACATCAGATCACAGCGGAAAGAGTTCCTCACAGCCACTCAGAGAAGCTCCAGCCCATGAAGTACAATCTGCTGCTTTAGCAAGGCATGGTTTCATTTTTGAAAGGTATTATTGCCAAAAAAATTTGTACAAAAACTTCAAGAGACAAGTCCACCAATTGAATTCATGGGCCCCAGGATTGTTTTTATGGATGGTCCCATCCCAAATATTTGTGGAAAGATGTGTTTTGCAGGCCTCTTTCATCACAATTCCCAAGACACATTCCTGATTGTCCTCCCCTGACGGTCCAGAGGTCCTGAGAATAGTCACACAGATATCGGTTCTGGTCATATATGAGGAATGTTTGAACACTTCAATCTGGATGAGAGATTGGAGATTGACATAAGGTCTGGACTAATTCAGTAGTCTGTAGAGCTAATAACTGGAGACTTGAGCCAAGTAGGGACACCGATGACTTGAGACACCAATGTCTGATGTCAAAGAAAGTTTTCCACACAAGATCCAGCTAGCGAGAAAGACAATATTGTCTGTTAATTGTCTCAACGGAAAATGTAGCCTTTTACCATCTGAACTGAACTGTAAACGGTTTTGTTTTCATTTTGAGAGTGTAAACATGGTATAGTTAAAACTTGAATCTATTAAATCTAAGAAGACACTGTGCCTTGGATTTTTCGATGAAAGCCAAAAAAAAAACAGCAAACAAATAAAAATATCTTAAACTTGATCATGGTAAATTAGGTTGGCAAAAAAGCGTTCAGCTATTCCTTTTTTACTGTATCAAGTGCTGCCAGAACAAACAAGCTTTGTACCATCAACTCACTTACTCCAAGAAACTTAAAGCAGCTCGTATTGTTTTCTTCTCTCTCTCTCTCTCTTTCATAAGTTAAACATAATGTTTAAGTCTCCAGCCTTATATACACTACTGCACTAATTGAACTATGGTGTTAGCCAACTCAAATATCATTAAGAGAACAGATGATTAAAAGAAAGTACTTGTTAGCTGGCAAATGTATAACCATCTGGATGCAATACTTGGAGGAAAATGTAGAAACCCTTCCCTTTATAAGCATTGAGATTATGTTAATATACGTGTTTCTAAATATTATTTTTATAAAAAAAAAACAGTTCTGATACTTTTGCAGAAAGTCTTTGGTAGCCAGATATTGAACATCAGAGAGTGGTGAAATTAAGTGATATTACTTCAATTGTTTCCAGATGTAAAGGTCAACCTCAACCCATTTAAAAAATGTAGAAATGATTAGAAATGTTAGCACAGCTACTCATGAAATAAATACATGGACATGAAATATTGATTTTGGTTGAAATTATTTTAAAATTTTAGCTGTATTATCCTATATTATCCATTTGTAGGAAACAAGAGAGACTCAATCTCATGAGAAAACGTAACTATGTTACGAGGTGGCAATTTCGTATGAATTTGTATGGTAACATGCGATTATTATAATAAGTGAACACTAAAAAAAATCCCGTTGTTTTTACGGAAAAAAACTGGCAGCTGTGGTTACCAGAACTTTACCGTCAAAAATACGGTATTAACGTTTTTGGTTTTACAGACTTAACTTAAAATTTACAGTAATAAACCGTAATTCATTATCTGATATAATGATAATTTACCAACCTTTTGAAGTATTAATATCTGTACCATTTGTACCATTGTAATACACTGACAACCAACAATCATCACAGCAGTGATGAGAGTCACATGATAAATCAAAGCTCATCACAAGTAATCTACCACAATGAAATTAATACCATTGTATTGAAGCTGCACAGAGTGTTATTCACACAAACATTAAACACCATCATGGTAACACACATGACATTTTAAAAATGCAATAAACATTAATTTAACTACATTAAATGTAACATAAAACCCTAATGTACATAACTGATTAGAAAATAACTAAGAAAACTAAGAAGAAACATTGTTATTTCCACAAAAATAAATCAAATGTGAAGTGTCATGCAGGGAATTGTGGGAATGTCAATTTACGGGTTTTCACTGTAAATTATACAATGAGTTGTTCTTTTCACTTTCAAAAACTGTAAATTTAACGGTATTTTACAGTACTTTACATTAAATGTACCGTTAGATCGCAGTTATTTACTGTATATAGTAAGGAAACTTTCTGTTAACCAATTAACAGTTTTGCACTGTAGCATTTTGACAGTCTTTTACCGTTAAAATCACAATCATTTTTTACAGTGAAGTTCACAACGTAATTTCGGGAGGAGTGAACACATTTCAATGAACTGCCGGAGCATATAAGCAGCCGCTCACCTTGCTCCGGCATCAGCTGTTTTGGCATCCCTCCACCTCCCCAACTCCACCAACATAATTTAAACATCTTGCTACCATACTCATCATCCAAGCATTAGTCCCACTGGGGGGTATAAGCTCGAGTTGAAGCTGCTTCCTCGAGCCCTTTCATTGTGGACAGCAAGCCAAATACGCTTAACCTTATTAGCTTAAAGATTATATGGGCACAGGAACTCGTGAAACATAAGTATGAAGGTCCACCCCTAACCCAGGGGTGTAATTTATGGGGGGGTTGGGGGGGAGATAACCCCCCCAATATTTATACCATGATCACATGAAAAATATGCAGAACAATTTTTTTTTAACCATATTAAACATTACAACCCCCCCAATGTTCAAACCAAATCTACGCCCTTGCCCTAACCCCATCCCTAAACCTAACCGTCAGTGGCGTAAGCAGATCGTACAAAACAAATGAGATACAAATTCACACAAAATAGTTGTGAATTACCGTAAGATGTTGATTTAAACTAATTTGTACCATTTTAGATGTTATTATTGTGTCAGGGTTACACATTTATTAAGTCTTGTTTTTTTTTCATCACTTAAAAAGCACTGTCATTCTTTAAGTCAGTAAAATTACGTATTTTAGACAATTGTGTTCCCGACAGCCTTGGAGCACATGAATGGCAAACAAGTCTATAATGCTGATATATTAAGAACAATCATCCGAGCAAAGACAATTATTTCAGCACCAATAAATGCCATATCACTGAACAAAGAAACAGCAAGAGTGAAATCCATCACAATACACTACATAGGAAATAATAACAACAGAATTTGCTTTAGCTCTGACAGGCCAGTGTAGCTTAAAAAGATGTGTGATGTATGAACTTGATCACAGAA